AAAGAGCTATAGCCTTGGAAACTCCATGAAGTAGTTCTAGTCTGTGCTGTAGGTTGGCTGAGTTGGAATCAGCAATGGGTTTGAGGTTGGGACAGGCACCTATTTGTAGTATTTCTGTTGTAGCAGCACTAGATAACTAAGGTAGTAAGGGCTCAAGTTCATTCTTTTGCGTGCTGTCCTAGCACAATTTGAAAAGATGCTTTCCCCCATTGAATAGACTTGATACTCATGTAAAAATAAACAATCAACCATAAATGTAAGGATTTGTTTCTGTACCCTCAATTCTTTTCTATTAACCTATGGGCTTATTCTTTATAGTGCTAATGTGTTGAGTGTTTTTATCATGAAAGGATGTTGGGTTTTTTCCACACTTCCCCACCTCTATAGGCATCTATGTGCTTTTTTGCCCTTCAGTCTACTAAGAGTGTATTATGTTGATTTTTATACATTAAACCAACCTTGCATTTATAGATTGAATCACACTTGATTATGGTATAATCCTTTTTAAAAATCCTTTTTAATAATCTAAATTTAAAAATTAGATTTAGTTTACTAGCACTTTGTTATGGAGGATTTTATTGTCTGAGTGTATTTATATAACTTATGTGCATTTAGCATTATTTTAAAGGGATATTAGCCTAATGTTTAGGCTGTTGTTGTTGTTTTCTCTTGTCTCTGGTTTTATTATCAGAGTAATATAATAGGAATTGGAATTGGAAAGTATCCTTTATCTCCTATTATTTTGAAGACATGTGAGGCATTAGTGCTAATTCTCCAAACATTTGATAGAATTCACCAATGAAGACACCAAGACCTGTATTTCTCCTTGGAGGATTTTATTTTTTAATAACTAATTCACTATCTTTACTTGTTGTGTTAGTCTGGGTTGACTAGAAAAACAAATTCATAGAGTTTTGGGGTTTTTTTCTCCCGTCACCTTCTGGGGACCTAGAGCTTTTTAACAAAGCATAATTGTATACTGAGAAAACATCCCAGCCCAGTTCAGATCAAGCCCATAAGACCAGATACTAGTCCATAAATTCCTCTATAGACTCACAAAGCACATGCAATAATGCCGAATTGCAGGAAGATCACAGGCCAGTGAGTAGAGAGTCTTATGGATCCAGTGGCAGTGGAAGCATCTAAATGCTGGTAGGGGTCTCCATGCATCTCCTCCAGCTCTTTGAGTGTTTCAACAGCAGGAAAGGGGAAGGCCAAGAGAGAGTGTGTCCTGCCTCCAGAGAGGAAGACAGGAGTTCCCAGAATCCTCAGGAGAAGGCCATGCCCACATAGTCATCATTGGCTATGACTGGATTGACAGACTAGACTTCATCCCCTCGCTCAAGTGGACAGGAGATTATGCAACTGCCACACTTGTTATGGGTCTATGCAGATTTTCCACTTTCTTTAGTCAGGTTTTGGTCATTTCCAGCCTTCAAGCAATTTGTCCATTACATCTAGGTTATCTTATTTGCTGGCAAAGAATTGTTTGAAGTATTCTCTTATAGTCCTTTTTACTTCCATAAGGTGGGTAATGGTTCCTCTTTCATTTTTTATTTTATTTATTTCAGATTTCTGTTTTATTATTGGTCAGCTTGGCTAGTGGTCTGCCAGTTTTGTTTACATGTTCAAAGTCCCACTTTCTGGATTTGCTGATTTTCTCCATAATTTTTTCTATTCTCTATTTAATGTATTTTCACTCTATATTATTTCCTTCATTATATTTGCTTTGGGTTTCGTTTATTCTCCTTTCTATAGTTTCTTTCTTCTTCTGCTTTTATTTCTGGTGAAAAGTTTACACAGCAAAATTAGGTTCCCATTTAATACGTCCTATGTCTATTGTTCAGCGATATTATATTCTTCAGTGTCAGGAATCACATAATCCCCATTTTGCTTGTTCTGTTACCATAAACCTAGCTTCTCTATCCCATTCTACCTACTTACCTTCTAATCTGTGCTTTATAGTAAATATTGATCACTTGCCCTCATATAATTATTTAATGGATAGTACACATGGATGATATTGTTTATTTTGTGAGTCAATCTATAATTTGGCTGAAAGGTGACCCCCAGCAGTGGGTTCATTTCCAAGTTTAGAGGGGATCTCAGGGTTATTTTTTTAAAAACATTTTCTTTTTAATTTTTATTTATTTTTAAATAATATTTTCCTTTTTTTAAATCGTTTTATTAAGGGCTTATACGACTTATCACAATCCATACATACATCAATTGAAATAACACTTTCTTAAAAAAAAAAAAAAGGAAATAACACTTTCTTAAGGTGGAATGTTAGGTAATGATGAACTGAGAATGTTCTTTTTATTTTATTTTTTAACATGAAGTGTCTACAGCTATAAATTTCCCAGTAAGCACTGCTTTAGTTACAGTCTGTACGTTTTGGTGTGTTGGTGTGTTGTGTTTTCATTTTTATTCATCTCAAAGTATTATTTTCTAATTTCCCTTATGATTTCCCCTTTGACCCATTCTTGTTTTTGTTTCGCAGTATATTTCTTCAGTGTCGAGAGTCGTTTGAGCAGGAGAAAGATGGGACTTTCTACTCCTGTACAGAGTCACAGTGTCAGAAACCCAGAGAAGCCTGTCCTATGGGGTTGCTAGGAGTTGACATCAATTCAATGGCAGTGACTTTGGTTTTTATGTTATAGTCATTTGAATAGTACAAGAGGATACTGTATGGCTTAAGTTCAAGAAAGCTGTGTATTAGGGTTATACAAGAGGGCTTCCAAAATTCATGGGAAATGGAATGAAAAGATAATGAAACATTTCCACAAACTTAAAAAAGTTCCCTTGTATCCTTTTACCATACTTATTTAATCTGCTTGCTAATATACTACCCTAGACGCTGAAGAACACAGTATTAGGATCACAGAATACTCACAACACCCTGAAATATGGAGATCATATTATCTTGCTTGCTGAAATAAGAAAATACTTGAAGCACGTACTGATAAAGATCAAAGACTACAGCCTTCAACATGGATTTCTCAACAGAAAACATTTCTCACACCTGAAACCAATTTCTCATAAGTAAGCAATAGCATGAATAACGGACAAACTATAGTTGACTCTCAAACCACCTGAGTTTGAACTGCATGGGTCCACTTATATGTGAAGTTAAAAACAAAACAAAACAAAACAAAACACTACTCTCCTCAGGGTGAGTATGTTGTCTCTAGTAGTTTGTATATCACAATAAAAAGTGATCTTTTGCGGCGCTCATGTATATATGTGTGTGTGTATGTGTGTGTGTGTGTGTATGTATATATATATTTTGCTCATGTATTTTTTTATCACGTTTTGTGCAATATTATAAATTTTGAATAACATCATGGGATCTATACAAAATGCTACCAGTGAAGCTGGAGTGGCCCCAAGCAGAGAAAGGACATGGCATTTCAAGAGAAAGTTGGACTCACATTGAGGTCTAAAGCTGTGACTAACCACTATCTTAAGATAAGTGAGTCCAGTGTATGGAGCATTGTAAAAAAAAAAAGAAAGGGAAATCGTGGAATAGATGCTTCAGCTATGTCAGCAGGCACCAAAACCTGGCACTTTTTATGAAATACCTTTGAACTTGTATTGAAAATCCAGCTTTTCTGTGGGTTACACTGCATACAAAATATGTGTTAATTGGTTGTTTATGCTATTAATTAGGCTTCTGATCAGTAGAATCTATTAGTAGTTAAATTTGGGGGGAGTCAAAAGTCATAAAGAAATTTTCAATTACAATGAGGGTTGGGACCCCTAACTGATGTGTTGTTCAAGGGTCAACTTTACTGAAGTTATCAAGGATTTCAATTTACTTGGGTCCATCATCAATGACCATGGAAGCATCAGTCAATAAGTCAAATGACATATTGAAGTGGGCAAATCTGTTGCAAAACATCTTTAAAAATGTTCAAAGGTGAAGATGTCATCTTCAGTTGGGTCTGACCCAAGTCATGGTATATGGTAACCAACTGCTCATGCTACTTGGTCCTGCTTGCCTCACATGCTAAACAAGAAAGACTGAAAAGGAATTCATGAATTTGAAATATGGTGTTGGTGAAGAATATAGACTATACTATGGACTGCCTGAAGAACAAGCAAATCTGTCTTGGAAGAAGGACAGCCAGAATGTTCCTTAGAATCAAGGATGGCAAGACTCGGTCTCCTGTCCTTTGGGCATATTATCAGGAGAGACCAATCCCTGGACATCACACGAGGTAAAGCAATGGTTCAGTGAAAAAGAGGAAGAGCCTCCATGAGATAGTTCGACACCACAGCTACAACAACAGGATCCAACATAGCAAACGGTTGTGAAGATAGCACCAGGTACAATAATAATAAAATAAAATAACAACAATAATAAAAAGCCTTGGTTTATGGTTAAGAATGGTCTATGCTGAAGAAGGTACATCTAAGTACCTCTATGGACACCCGAAAAGAATGTATATTCTAGTGTTGTTGGGCACTCTCTTAGATCTCGCTGGTTTCCCCTGCCTTTTTTTGAAGTAGAAGCAGGGCAGTCAGTTCAGATTGTACCTTCATACTCTATCTTCATCCAGTCTGCCTTCTGCAGTCAAAAAGCAATTGTGCTTCAACAATCATTATGATCATAGCAGCATGCAATACTTGCACAGGCACACCTCAGTTTATTGTGCTTCACGTTACAGTTTTGTTTTTAACAAATTCATGATTTGTGACATTCTGCATCATGCAAGTCTATCGTTGCCATTTTCTAAAAAGTATGTATTTACTCCGTGTCACATTTTGGTAATTCTCACAATATTGCTAACGTTTTCTAATGCTACTGCAGAGATATATCAAGTATAACCTTTCTATGTACTAGGAAATAAACAAGTTGTGTGACTCGCTTGATTGAGATATTAGCTTTATTGTGGGCCTGGAACTGTGCCCACAGTATCTCAGAGGTATGTCCGTAGAGCACATGTGGACCAGGCACTGTTCTCATCGCTCACTTAATCCTACCACAGGCTCACCTTTGCACCCCAAGCAGCTGCTCCTCTGTGTAAGTGGCACTCCCTTCACCCTGTCGGGTCTGCGTCCACTCATTCTCAGCCTTTTCTTTCTGTGCCTTCATGCAGTTACAGCAACCACAAGCGTCATGACCCTCCGGAGGTCTGTCTTCTGAGTATTTGTTTCTTCTAATTGCATCAATATAGGCTGCAAAGCAATAGCCCCTCCATTAGATCTTGGTTTGTTTCTGCAAATCAGCTTTGCCACCTGTCTGAGCTTTCTAGGAGCTTGCTTGTAGGCATAAACTGGTGAGTGTGAGGCCAGGTAATTAATGTCATGCTGACTTTTAAACATCAATATAATGCTACATATTCATCTTCCCTAAAACAGCGAACCCAATCCACTGCCATCACTGTGACAACGTAAGAGTACGGGAAAAATGGATGCCAATCAAGAAAAACTTGTAAATGTTAGAAACATGAGGCATCATGTCCACCAAACAGTCATCAAATAATTCTGACTCGGAGCCAGAAAAGGGATTCTGCCCAATAGAACTCCTTTAGAGGGAAATCTGTTTCTCTGTGGTCTATGGTCAAAGGTGATATCGCTCATGAAAGAACCCTTTTTGTTGCCATGTCCCCACTGTGATGAATTCAATGATTTTAAGCCAACAATTTTTTTTTAATATGGAACGCTTCACGAATTTGCGTGTCATCCTTGCGCAGGGGCCATGCTAATCTTCTCTGTATCGTTCCAATTTTAGTATATGTGCTGCCGAAGTGAGCACTAAGCCAACAATTATAGAGCTAATATGCATGTAACATTTAACTGGCTAGATTGGGCAAATGCGTATGAAGAAGACCTATTACTGACTACGAGGTTCTACTTTAATGGGAGAGGACCCAATGAATAAAAATTCATGCACAATGTAAAGAAGAACACATGCAATGTAGCCAATGAGAACAGAGTTCTCCTGTCTTATCTAGGTTCGAGGAAAGACCTGAAAAACCTTTTGATCAAATGCGACCACATCCTTCTTTCCTAAGTGACTATCCACTGCACCTAGTCCACACTTCTTATTGTGGGCCCAACCTGCCTCTCCAGCCTCTTACCACACACTCCTTTGCAATCTCCTCTCCCCAAACCAAACCAAACTCGCTGCCATCAAGGCGATGCCGACTCACAGCCACCCTATAGGACAAGGTAGAACTGCCCTTGTAAGTTTCCAAGACTGCAACTCCTCAGGAGTGGGCTGGTGGTTTTGAACTGTTGACCTTGCAGATCCCAGCCCAAAGTGTAACCACTACGCCCCCAAGGCTTCTGCAATCTAGCCTGTTCTAGCCACACTAAATTCTTTTCAGAATCAGTGGTTTTCTTCTTCCCTGTTTGTTTCCTCTGCCTGCAACCCTCACTGGGTCTGCTCGGCTGACTCCAGTGTATCCTTCATGCCTTCATATGTGACCTCTGAGGTTGTGTTGGGTGCCTTGACGGTGTGCTCCCCAAACCTTGACTTTGCCGTGTAGTTCGGGCTAACTGGCTGTCAGTGGTCCTTCCCTAGCAAATTCCCGCTGCACCTGCGTGCTCAGTGCACGTCATGCACGACGGATCAATACTTTTTACCTGACTGCAGGAACGAGCCATGAATGAATGGCCTGTTCAGAATGGAAAAGACGGGCCTATGGGCTGGGGGGTGGGGGGACAAGATCAGCCTGGAACTGGATCCGGTGGCCCAGTTTGGCAACAGGGAGATGGGCCCGGTAAATACGGTGCAGGCGACTGACTGCATCACCCTGCCGGCCCGGCGCCGGTGGGCCCTGGGCGGGGCACGGGCGCGCGGGCCTGGAGGCAGGAGGCAACAAATCGTCCTTGGTGACTGGGGTCTCTCGACGTGCCCCCGCGGCTTCTCTTTTCCAGATACCAGCCCCAGTCCGGGGCAGGCCTGCACTCCGTCCAAAACCCCCTCGGGCTGGCGCATTCGCACGAGCCTCCCTCCCTCACCCCAGGCCAGCATCTTAGCCCGTAAGCGCCGTCAGGAGGCCGGCCACCTCTGATCCCTTCCAGACCCGCCTAGGCCGACCGACCGACTTGGACCTGGTACCTTCCGTCCAGCGTTCCCCGCTGCTCAGCGTCGCAGCCATAGCGGTTGCCTGTCAGCAAGTCGGCCGGCCTCCCCCTCTTCTGAGACTGAAAGGAAAGGGGGCGCTAGCGCGGCTGCATGCTGGGCATTGTAGTCTTACTCCTATGGGGTTGCGGGGCACGCGCCCGGGCATTGGACTACAACTCCCGGCAGGCTCAGCGCGAGGGGCCAGCGGAGATGCCGAGAGGGGTCTAGAGCTCGGACCTTGCGGGGAAAGGCCTGTGGAGACGTTCGCTCTTCGCTGACTGCGGAGAGCCACACATGTACACTAGGAAACTGGTGATTCCGGGCCGCATTTCACCGCGTCTGTGGAGTGGGCATGGCGACTCCCGAGGAGGCGCGATGGACGACCTATCTGGGAGGACTTCCCAAACGACGCCCTAGAACACGGTGACAGCTTGGCTGTTGGGCTCAGCGATGCTTCTGAAAAATACACGATAGTGCCTCCTCTGTGCAGTGTGGGCTCGGCCCTGGGGATTTAGAGATGGATAGAGGATGAGCCAAAAAACTAGGACGGTGCGGTAGATTTAGGGGGTTAAAGGGCCGTGTAGGAACACACCTGGTCCCCAGTTCCTCAGGCACAGTTCCAGGCTGGCCGTGTCCTTAGAGGGGCGGCTACGGGGTCGGGCTAACGGCCAGCACTATAGTTCTCTCTTGGCTTTTCCTTGTGTTTTCCAGCCCTGGTGGCGCTGCCGCATAAGCATTGCACTGCTAAGTGCAGGGTCAGCGGTTTGGAGCTACCGGCTGCTCCGTGTAGAAGAAAGGTGAGGCTGGCTGTTTCTTTAACGACTCGATTTTACGGCCTGAGAAACCCCCAGGGTCTCTCTGAGTCAGAATCACTGGGGAGCAGTGGGTTTGTCCTACTTTGGGGCCATCTGAGACTTTTCCTCCCCCTTCCAGCCCAATCGTTTCCTGGGCTCTTCTCCAACCTTTCTGAAGGACAAGACTCTAGGAAATCAATGAAAAGGAAATGAAGAAATAGTCCAGCTGGTCCTCACCCAGGTTTATATGGAGTCTAGCAAACAATAAACGCAACTCTCACCTAGGCAGATGGGCACAATGTTCTCACCCACTGCCTCGAGACTGCAGGAAGGTGTGCCTTAAGAAAGCCAAAAATCGGGTCTACTAAAAGGGAAAAATGATCATGTTCATCGCCAAGTAAAACCTTATCTGGAATTCACTGAGATCTTACCTAAAAGGGCTAAAGCGGTTATAAAAATCAAGTAGCAACTATAAGGAGCCCTGGTGGCATATCGGTTACTCTGCTGCTAACCACACCGTCAGCAGTTTGAAACCAGGAACCCCTGGCTCCTCGGGAGAAAGACGGAGCTTTCTGTATAGAGTGCAGCCTGGGAAACCCACAAGGGCAGTTCTGCCCTGTCCTCTAGGGACGCTATGAGCCGGAATAGACCAAGGACGGAGAGTTTGAGTTGAGGGCAACTATTTAGATGGTTGGAGGTGAGGTGGGTCCTAAATTTGAAGGGTCAAAGCCCCGGATGACACGCAGGTCTAGCCTTTTTCAGGATTCACAAGAACTTTCTGTGGAAAAAGCACAGGCCTATGAATTAATAATGGTTGTAAGTTTGGAATTCCACAAAGTACTTTATGACCACAATTAACTAACTCCCTTCATCTCCTTTGGTCCCAGTTTCCCCCATTTAGAAAATGAGACGGTTAGATTAGATTCACTCATTCAAAATCACTGCCGTCCAGTTGAAGACCCTGTGGGTTTAGGACGGGAGCTTCATCTTCCTCCTACAGAACGGCTGGTGGTTTCGAGTTAGCAGCCCAACACTTGACCCGGCACGCCCCCGAAGCCCCTTGGGGTCAATGAATAGTTTTAAATTAAGGAATTCTTTGGACTTCGTGTGAAGATATCCTGGGACTTTTTACTTGGGGTGGGGGGGTAGGAAAGAGGGGGAAGGCACAGTAAGGGAGGACTCTTACCTCCTTACCCTTCTTCAAACAAAGCAGTTCTACTTTTTTGGTATATTGTGTGGTCTAATAAAGGGATTTATTTGTCTACTAAAAGAGAAAAGAGATATTTTAAACTACCAACTAGTTGACCACCAAAGGCTTGTGTCATTTCTAAAATCAGTTTTCTCTCAAGTAATTAAGGATAATGTTCTGCCCACATAATAAACCCTATGAGTTTGGAGGAAGTGACAGCTGCCTAGATGTTTAGTAATTTTTGTATTTTCTCAGGAGAGAGAATTTAGTATAGTATTTAAAAGATTGCTACGGAATACAAACTAAAGTATTTAAGCCTCTAATCTCCCATGTAATGTGTACTCCATAAATGCTAACACTGTTCTAGACTGGCTTAGAGGAAGAGAAGTAATGTCCCCCTATGACTTGATATTGTAAGTCAGCAGTGGGAGGATGCTGTTGCTGGGTGCCAATGAGGCTATTCCGACAGAGAAGAACTGCCCCATAGGCTTTCCTGGGCTATAATCTTTACCGAAGGAGATTGCCTTGCCACCTCTTTTCTGTCAGAGCCAATGGGTAGATTCAAACCATTAACATGTGAGTTAGCAGCTAAGCACTTAAGTATTGTGCAACTAGGGCTTCTTAGTGGGGAGTGGGGTATATCGAGTATATCAAAGGTCCTGCTATGTCTGATTGGAGCCATGCCATACTGTCTGGCAATCGCTACCTATGAGTCAGGCAAAATGCACAACACTACCAAAAAAGGACTGCAAGTTGCTATGCCCTGTCTTCTGGCCCTTGACCCCAACCACTGAAGCTGGTGATCTGCATCTTCTTCCAAAAATGAAAGAACATGGCAAAAACGAGCTGACATGAGCCATCCAAAATCAGATCTATTACCATATGGCCTTAAACTTGAGAGGCAAACACACAATTCTGGGACTCCACATATGGCCAGCTTACATACTCTAGACGACAGTGGGTTCCCAGAAGACTGGACACTGAAGAAGTACTGTGCTCTGTAGCCAAGGGACCTGATTAGGGATGCCCCTTACCATCTCAAATACTGCCATGTAGTTGTACACTTCAGCACATTTACACCTAAATTAAATGATCAGGTATTTGAATATAAATATTCTCTAGCTTGGAAAGGCCAGGGCTGCTCTACTGCATAGATGTACCATGAAACCGAGAGCCACCAGGCTATGGTCAGATGTGCTCAGAGGTGTCAGAGAGCCATGAATCAGACATACCTGGCAGAGAACAGGGGGGTTAGGGAACTGTAGGGGATAATGAGATTGAGAAGGGACACTATACATTGTGGGGCTTAGGAAGCAGAGTTCAGATTCAGGGGTGCTGGGAAGTGAAGGCCTCTTGGAGATAACAGGTACCTCAACATTCTCCCCACCTCCTTATTCTCTGAAATCTCTCTCTCTCTCTCTCTTTGTAATCCATTCTTTTCTAGATTTGGTTCATTTAATTCTAGTCCGGCAAAAAGTGGTTCAACATTACCACCATCTCAGATATTGCCATGTAATTGTATTATTTGGCACACATACACCTAAATCAATCATTTGGGATGCATTTTCCTATGACTGCAGGTCGAATAAGAGTTAGATTGTTAAGAGTGCAAAGTCTTCAAACGCACTAGCTCCTCCTTAGAAGAAAGGTGAGACTGTCTGCTCTGTAAAGATTTACAAGGTCTTGGAAACCCGATGGTGGGTAGCTGTGAATCAGAATCAACTAGATAGTAATGGCTTTTGGTGTCACTAGAAGTGACCTAGAACCCAAACTTCAATATTTCTGTGCTAGGTGTTGGTTAAGTTCACAAGCCACTCAATAAAAAAAGACTCCCCACTTTCAAATTCAGTGTCTGTGTTGTGTGGAAGGACACGTTGTGGGCGTGCAGAGCACAGGAGGAGGGAGCTAGGGGAGTAACCAGCAGGTAGAGTGAGAGAGTAACTAGGATTGAGATTAGGGAGAAGAAGAGAGGTGAGATCTCAGTGTAGTTCCTAAAAAAAGAGGGAAGCGTTTAGAAAGAAGTTTGAAGAGGAAAGTAAGGTAACCACCCACTAACCAAGGGAAGCTGGTCGTCAACCAGACCACAGAATGTGTTACAGCAGGTGGCATAATGGTTACGAGTTAGGCTGTGAACTACAAGGTTAGCAGTTCAAAACCACTAGCTGGAAACAGAAAGATGGGATTGTCTACTCCCATAAAGAGCTACCGCCGTGGAAACCCACAGGGACAGTTCTACCCTGTCCTATAGGGTCATCACTATGAGTCAGGATTGGCTCGGTGGCAATGAGTTTGAGCCTGCCTTTGGGAACTTTGGTGCAAGAATTAGGTCAGTGAGATCCTTCAGCCACTAAATTGTTTTATCTCGGGAGAGTCTCAGCTTTCTAGAAGGCACCTTGACTTATTTTAAAAAACCATTTCTGTAGTGAATTTTTGTTGGCAGTACTGAGGTTTGCCATGTGCCCTGTGTTGTTGAGGTGTTGGACCTGCCCCATCCGGCCCTGACTAAATGAAATTAGTCCCCTCTCTGACCAGGTCTGTGCACCTGAACTGGTTTGTTAGTTGCCCTTCCACTGGATGAGAGAGAAAATGAGATCAGGGCAGTCACAGCAACCTCTTTACCCCCCACCACGCATTCCTGTTTTAGGGCCTATAATCCTGTGTGGGAACAGGAAGGAAGCTGACTTGTAAATGGCTACCATCCTGTTGTCTAGACATCAAAGAAGGGATGTAGGTAGTCTCAGGGACTGCAGAAGGCTGCATTCAGACTTCCTGCTGGAAGTGAGGTCTAGTGGGATCATTTGCATGAATAGGATTCCTCCCGCCCCATCCCACCCCAGGAGAGCCTCCTTGACTGCAGGTTGCTGTAGAGCAGGACTCAGCATCAAGTGAGTTCACCCTGTTCCCATTCCCAAAGGGTGGTTACTTAGCAAAAGGAAAATCCGCAGGGCTCATGTGGTACTGCAGTGTCCGTGTAAAAGCCTGTGGGTCTCAGAAGATATGAATCACCCCATCTCCAACTACACACATAAGTACCTTATGACGACCGGCTCATATTTGAAGGATATTGTCCAGAATCCGGGAAAAGTTTATGGCCTTAGAATGGAGCCATCACCTGCTACCCAGAGTTCAACGCATGTCCTTGACCTGATGATCCAGGATGGTAAGCACCCCAGGCAGTCAGAGGAACAAAGTCAATTCAAACAGAACCCAGCACATCTAGACATTGTTATGTCACCTGGAGAGTTCTAGCCCAGTGACAGCTTATTATACTGGAACTGACTAACGTAAGTCATCTTTCTGCAGTGTGGCTTAAATGACACACTCTGACTTGTCTCTTAAAACCGTACTTTCATAGTGGTTACCCATTGGGCAGAGATCTGCCAAGTCAGTAGTTTGAAACCACCAGCTGAGTTGAGGGAGAAAGGTTAGAGGGAAAAGAAAAAAAGCTTTCCACTCCCATAAAGAGCTACAGCCTTAGAAACTCGCTGGGGGTGTTCTACCCTGCCATGTAAGGCCGCTATGAGTTGGCACCAACTCGATGGCAGTGAGTTTTTCGGATCATAGTTTGGGTACCTAGGAAATAGACTCTGAGACTCAGATTTTCATGCCAAAGATTTATTGGAGAGTGTTCCTGGGAACAACAGTGTGAGGGGTGAGAGGAGCAGGAACCGGTGGAGGGAGAAAGGGAGACCAGGGGTCTACGGCTTCATCCCCAGCTCTACCTCCTAATCAACTAGTCTTAAACCAGCTGTGAGCCCTCAGCAGCCAACACTCCCAGCCACCCACCGGGGAACAAATATTTTGATCTTTGAAGTGGGATCTTGGCGGTGTTCCACACTGTCTGCAACAATTGCCAGCTAATATTTTTACCTTGCAAGTATTTCCACATTTATTATTCCATTTTACCTCCCAGTAGCCTGTGAGGTAGACAGAGCTACTTGGGAGCAGTCTTTCCTATTATCTTATGGGATAGCAAACACATGCTCAGCATCCCAGAAGATTACCCTCGGCTTTGCCTTGCCACCTATTGACTTCTGAACTCAACACATCGTGTTCTTCTTCTTCTTTTTTTTTTCTTTCTACTTTTAGAGTCTATGGAAATGTGGAACGTAAGAATTAGAAAAGATAGTGAAGGCCAAGTAGTCCAGTCACCTGACTTTAAAAGTGAGGAAACCGGCTCAGAGACAGCAGGATGATTTGGTCAAAGTCAAGTTGTAACTCGGTGGAGGAGCCCAGCCTCATCACCAGCTTTCTTTTCCCCAAGAACAGTTTTTCATTACCAACGGTGTGCTGGAGTTACAAACATGAGTAGGTTACAGGTCCAGCCTTAGTTGATTTTATAATCCAGGCAGTTTCTTCAGTCTCACTTGGAGAGTTTTAATGAGACAGAGGGGCAAGTGAAACTTTTTATTCTATGCTTTCTCATATCATCACTTTGCAAAGTCTAAATCCAGAAGAGAATAGCGTATTGTTCCTTGAGAATGCGAGAGCAGGAATGGTGTTCCCCATGTCTTCCAAACTGCTGCCTAAGTGATCCTTGAAAAGTTCAACCATTTCTGCAGAGAGATCCAGGTGACTCTTCCATTGACCCTACCCATCCAAACGGGTGTCATGGCGAAGGTACCTGCGACTAAGGAAACAAGCACTGCCTTTCTTTTTCTCCCTGAGCAGCAGGATTTACGTGGTTTTTGGGTTCTCTTTCTAGAACACAAGACAACAGTGGCATGAGGTAAAGTGGGTAGGTTTTCTGTATATAGTGCCATGAACTTAGCCTCATCCAAACTTGCCCATTCGTCTTCCCACAGCTAGGACCGGGATGATGCATGTCCACCCTGGGGCAGGCAGAGGACAGTTGCCTTCTTATTATTCAACTCTCACCACTGGAATTTCCTAGATGGAATGCTTTGTGCTTCCCATGTTCTCTCTCTCCAGATGTGATCCTTTACTGGTGATGATTAGTCATACTTTACAGTCCTTTTTCTTACTCCCCTGTTGGGGGTGCTTAGTCACCTCAATCCTACTGAATAAGCCAGGTTAACCAAGACAGACCTGATAAATATTTCTCTTTAGCTTCTAGATTTCTCAGAGAGCTCCTCACAAAGGTAGAACCCCGCATACACATTCCTGGCCTAAGCAAGGTGATCCCAACGCTGCTAGAACACTTGGTAAAGAGATGGGCATGGGAACAGAGACCTTAAAAGAAGTTAGGCTATAGACCAAGAAATAATTTTAATACATAGTAGAAAAGACCAATCTGCCTCATCATTTTCCTTACTGGTCCTCTTTCCCAGGACTGAGAAGAAGATAGGAGCAGGTGGCTTTGTGTCTAGATTGGCTATTCATAGGGGAGAGACACTGGTACTGGTAGCTCATTCTCACATCTGGAGGAATGCTGGTGTCATTTAGGTTTGGGAGTAGATGTGAAACAAGCAAATAATTTATATGTAGTTCATTGTCACTAGCAATCCCATCATTTCCTGCTCACAGTCACAGGGCAGCAGCCTCATCCTTGGACCTGTGAGGCCCCAAGGTCGCCTTTACAGAACCTGCAAAATAAGCACAGAATAATGAGGGAGGTTGAACTTCTTCGAAGTGGCAGGATTGGGAAGAGAGGAGGAGAAGCTGAGTCTTTGGGAGTATCTCCTTTCTGACTCAGGAATTGGAACTGGAAGATAGGAGGAAGGAGAAGGGAACTTTGGGACAGGGAGGAAGTAAAGATGAAAAACACACCTTCTCTGCCGAGGAGCACCCTTTGCTGTTATTCATGTTGATGTTCTTCATAGAAATGAGGGTGATGCTGTTTTTCTCACCTTTGGCTGTGGAGCAGCTAAGGGTTGAGAGGGAGTCTGGGTTATAGAAAACAGGAGGGAAGATAATGGGGACTTAAGAATCTTTGGGGTTGAAGCTGTTGTGTTTTAGATCTTGGTTTTGAAATTTTAACATTTTGGTGGTGGACCATAATGAACTGAGAGCTTTGCATTCTAAATGACCTATATTTATATTTTGGTTTTAGTGCATCACCACTTGCCTAATCTTGACCAAGTTAAAGCTTCTCTTCAGCCTTATTTTATTCATGGGTTAAAGGAAGTAATATTTGCCTTGAAGACTTACTGTGAGGCTTTGAGGTAATATTTCAAAATGTCTATCACAGTGCTTGGTACATGCCAGCCACTTACTTGCCCACAGCCGCTGAGTCTATTCAGGGTCATGATGACAGTACAGGACAGAGTAGATGATCCACAGGGTTTCTAAGACTGTCACTCTTTCCAGGAGCAGACAGCTTCATCATTCTCCTGTGAAGTGGCTGGTGGGGTTGAACCTATGACCTTGTGGTTAGCAACCCAACACTTAATCCACTGTGCCACTAGAATGCATTCCTTAACACATTAAAAACAACAACAAAACACTGCCACTGAGTTGATTATGATTCATAGCAACTCTAAAAGGGTTTTCGAGAGGCTATTAATCTTGGAAGCGGAAAGCCTCATCTTTGTCTCTCAGAGCAGCTGGGGGGTTTGAACAGCTGACTTTGTGGTTAGCAGTTCACACTTACTTGACCACCACACCAGCGCTCCTAGCTTGGCACATTTAGTAACTACTAAACAAGTGGTTCCTAAGCACAGTGGAAAGGCCTCCTTATTTAAGAGGAGAGGTAGATTAGCATCTAAGTTCTTACACTTTCATGAGAGGGTTTTCAGGTTTAGCTGTGAGGCTGAAGAGCTCTAACCCTTCTCCCATCCCTGTCGCCTGATTGCCTCCTTTCAAGTCTCTCCCTGTCTTGTTCTGCCCACCCAGTGGCTCTGTGATGGCTGTAAGGAGTGTGTGTGTGTGTGTGTGTGTGTGTGTGTAAGTCATGAGGTGCTGGTTCCCTATTGGAGATGGAGAGTGGGGGATCAATAAAATACCCCTCTTTAACAGTCTTACCTTTCAGATATCCCTGAACTTCCTGGTTTCTGAGGATCTGTGAAAAGCCAAGGCACAGATCAGGAGTCACATGCTGTAACTCAGATACCCAGCCTACCCCTCAAAGTCCACCCAAGTAACCTCTCACACTCGATGGTGCTGAACTGCCCATCCCTCTTTCTACTTCAGGCTAGGTCTGAGCTATGGACCTTAGCTCCTGCTCTCTCCAGCAAAGAGGGGCCCTGAGGCCAGGGCTTTACCTTCAGACTCCTTGTTTTTCCGACACTTAAATCTTAGACTGACCACACTGACTAGGACAATCACCACCACCACCAGGATGACAATGAAGCTGATAACACCTGAATAGGGATAAAAAAAAAAGTGGGGTGAAGAGGAGGTTGACAGGACAAAAGTGGGCAACAGGGAGGGAGGGGAAAATGAGGACCTAATGTCGGGGGTTTAAATGGAGAGAAAATGTTTTGAGAAACGATGTACAAATGCGCTTTACACAATTGATGTGTGTATGGATTGGGATAACAGTTGTATGAGCCCCTAATAAAATGTTAAAAAAATAAAATAAAATAAAATGCATGTGCATCAAAAAAAAAAAAAAAAGTGGGCAACAGGAGTCTCAAATTCCTTTTGCTAAGTACTGGATAGGCAGGCACCAGAAGCAAGATGAAGCCTATTTCTTTGTTGAACAAGTTCAACAAGCCTGCTACCCCTAGCCCAAGTGGGACATCCTCCCCTGCCCGTGCTCCCATAGGAACATGGAACCCATCAAAGACAGCAGATTAACTGGGGGGCAGTGGAGGTTCCCTCCCACCAGAGCTATTCCTTTAGCCAACCTCTCTTGGAACAAATGGATAAGATTTGAGCTTGTGTTTCTATACCCAGAAGTCTACATCAATTCCAGGCCCATTCCCTCCCATGTCCCGCCTTTTCCCCCTGACTCACCGAATGCAGCCACAGTAAGCACCGACTCTGATGTGGGGGTAGGCAGGATGGTCAAGTATTCTCCCGTCTTCAGGCTCATGGCAGTCGTTTGGGGGGTATTTTGGGATGGGTCTAAAGATGGGGTAGGGGATAAGTATATCGGTGATGGAAACTGACATGGCCTCCCATGGAGAGCTAGTTTCCCTCTACCCCTATCCCTCCGGTTAGAGATGGCTAGGGAAACACACACCCCAGACGTCCTCCCTGTCACTTCCACCAGATCCCACGAGGTGGAGGTCACACCATGATGGTAAGTGGCCATGTGAATGGCACTGCTGACTTCTCAAGCTGCAGGTTCCAGAGAACTCCAGGATAATCAGGATCCTCCCTTGAGGCTTGTTCCACCTCCCCGTGAGGCCCAGAGGAAAGGAGTCTGTGCCCCCGAAATAGGGACCCAAACCGAGCAAGGTGGAATCATCTGTGTTTTGCCAAAGGTTGAAGTGGGTGGAAGGAAGGGCACGGGATGTCTGCCCACAGGAGCTAGCGAAACAAGTCAGGCTGCCAGTTAAGGGGCACACGTGTCTGTCCTCGGGAAAACTGGTATGGCCACCTCCTTTCAACTCCTCCTCTATGCTGTACGTCAGGCCTGATCACGGTTCCATTTTCCCATCTCCCTGCACCCCCCTCCCAAGTAGGTCTGGGTAATGTCAAAAAAAAACAAACCTCTCAAGCCAAGGAGTGAGGAGAGAGAGGGGAAAAGCAACCGGATATACCTCCACTGGGGCCACCATTGCTCCTGCAGCAGCTGCTGCTGCGTGGGACCCTGTGCCTGCACCATGAAACACGGCCAAGGGGATGGTGTCCTCTCCCTCCCCGTCTTCTCCCATGTTCATTGACGAGGGCCAGCCTTCACTGAGAGGAGGGCAAACCTTTCCCCAGCATCCCCCTTCCTCTTTCCCATCATTTTGGGTTCTCCTACTCTCCTCTCTTCCTCTCTCCTCCTTCCTCAGCCCAACTCCAGGCTCCTTGAACCTTCCTGGTGACTTGGTCCTAGTTCTTGTGTCTCCCCACCCACTAACCAAACCTCCCGAATTCTTTCCCAAACCAGGGTGTCCAGCCAGGGGTCCTGACTTCAAGACCCCTAGTGCTAGAGCAGGACGTGAGCCTCCAGAATGGGGGAAGAAGGAGCCCACCCAGACATAACCCAGTACCCTTCACCCCTGCCCCCTGCCTGGCCCCAGCCCTGGCCACTTACCAAGTCCTGAAGTGTGGAGCTTTTGTGGCTGCGACTGAGGCTGGCCCAGGGAGGACAAAGACTGATCACCCATGGTGCTTGACCTAGGCGTGGTGGGTTCACTTGTTACCACGGGCTCTCGTGAGGCCTTCTTGGGAGGTTCTGTGGGTCAGAAAGTACGCCTTATCCAGCAGTGTGGACAGAGAGGGCTCTGTAGTCCCAAATCTTGCTTTCTGTCCCAAGAAAAGGGCCATTTTCTCCCTCACATCTGCACCTCTACCTGCACAGCTCCCGGGTCTAGAATATGCCCATCACTTCCACCCTGCAGTCTTCTCAGGTCTCAGCTTTAGACGTCACTCACTCAGAGATATCTTTCCTGACCCCACTTGGATATCTGAAAGTTTTGTCCCCAACCCCCACCAAATTTGAAGTGGCTGATGTGTTTCTGGGCTTCCATAGCACCTTCTCCCCACCCCCATCTGAGGGCCTGTTTACTTGTCTGTTAGCCCATTTGTTTACATTCTCCTTTCGCACAGGAACGGTATCTGGCTCCGTCCTCCACGGAGGGGATTTGTAGTCTGAACAGGAGAGTACCTGGGGTAATAGTGCCTGGGGTAACACAGAACTAGGGCTGCTAGGCTCTGAGGGAGGGCCATCTCTTGCAAGGTCAGGGTCAGATACGGAGTTGGAAGCGGGCAAGCTTGGCGACATCCCACTCTGCTGGCCATGCCAGAACCCTGGCTCCAAGCCAGACGGAATGACTGAGGACATGGAGGGGAAGGGTCTGGCAACTCGTTGTATGCGCTCACCTGTGTGGGGAGAAGTTGTCTCTGTGATCAGACTTCGCCTGCTGACAGCGCCTGAAACAGATCATCGAAGCTGAGGGATCGGGTGCTGTCCAGCTCGTCCTCCCTCTCTTCTTCCTTCTATCCGGTATCTTCCACCCTCTCTCCCTGCCCCACCTCCAACCGCTCCTCTTTGTCCTCTTTCAAGGCATGTTAGAATAAGCCAGGTGGGGGCAAATCCCCATCTGCGCTCAGCTGTGGATGGCCTGAAAGTTTTGTTCCCAGCTCCCCATCACTGGATGTCAGTGGGAAACGGACCCAGAGCTCCTGTCACCCCCCTGCAGGCAACATGTATTTGGTCTTACCCTGAGGACTAGCCGTCTCGGATGTCGTGGGCTGAGAGTTGTGTCCTGTAAGAGACAACATAGCATGTAGGCTAGCTTGGTAAGTCTCCTGCCCAGGCCAGCTCCCAGAGTGGAATCTGGGCTTTTGATTCTCTAAGTGCCCCACGATGGCAGAGGACTGAAGGATTGGGGCTCAGGTTCATGACACTGGCTTTCTCGGAGATTGTGACCCAATAGCTATTCACAGCCATCTCATGGCTCAGGCTTTTCTCTCTTTCACCTTCAGGTAGTTAGTTTATTGTGCCAACCTGGCCGATAAACACATGTGGGGTTAATTGAAGGGCGGAGGGATAAATGGCTCAGTGAGCCTCGCCTTTCCAGTTCTCGGGTCTCTTGCTTTCTGATGGTCGGACTAGGGTGCAGCTGCCTTAGCTAGTTCCCTGCTCCAGCTGGCAAGTCTCACTTCTGCAAGACATCCCTGAGGAGAAGCCACATGGACCTACCCCGATGCAACCCTGGGTACTGGAGCAACCATGTGGAGACCCCTGCCAGCACTGAGATGCTTACACATTCACTGACTCGGCTTTCCTCCTGCAGTTGGCATCCTTGGGTCTGCTTTGTGAGATGGAGGAGGACTTGGTGGATTGGTGTTGGACATATGGGTTAATGGGTTAATGTTGGACTTGTGAGCTTGGGCAGCACTGGGTTGGGATGTTTTCTTTGATGTGCACTTAACTTTTATATAAAACTCTCTTTTATACATGAATTTTCTGTGGATTTGTTTCTCTAAAGTACCCAGACTAACACCCCCCACCCCCCCCACGTGGGTCTTAGAACCAGTCTGGCCCAAGGTCCGGGCAGGTTGTTTTAAACCAATGACACATCCAAAGTCAGAGACCAGTGGTTTGTTTAAACAAGAGCCCAGGACTCCAGGTCCTTAGGCTAAGGCTCCCAGCCTCTGTCACCGGGCCATTCCTTTTCTCTGGTGGGTCAGGGATCCACCTGGATCCACCTCCAAGAAAGAGGACGGAGAGATGTGAGGAATAAGATAGGGATTTGGGCTCCTATCTCGGTTCTCTCTCCGCCTGCCCTCAGCCAGAGGGAGAGTCCTGCACAGGAAGCAAGTCCTGAGGTATACAGAGACAGAGAGCTGAGAACAAGCCTCGGAGTTACCCTCACAGGAAGTTTACTCTTGCAGTCACTGCCAACTTTAGAAACGGCCCTTGTTGGCTAAACCCAGAGAAGAGGTCCTTGTGAGGACCAGAAGGCCCCAGTCAGAAGCTCTCACTTGCTTTGTGCGTGTACGTGTGCATGTCTGTGAACCTCTCTGCAGATGTGCGTGTGCACGCACCCCATTGCCCATGTATGCATCCTGCTATGTGTGTGGGACCTGAAAGGTCAGATGGTGTTTGCTCATTTTCCACAATGAAATCATTCTAGAAACCTGTGAACAATGTGGAAGGAAAACAACGTGGGGAAGTGGAGCCGCCCAGCCTGGTTCCCGTCGCTCGGCTTAGCCTAGGCCTGTAGTCCCTGGCCTGGCCCTCCGGCTCCCTGGGCCTCCTCATCATCGGAGAAGCACTAAACCCAGGCCAGGCGGTGCAGACCAGGCGGCTGGGTGCCAGGGGCCCGCCCCAGCTGGTGGCAGCCTGCTGCTCTGTTTATTTTCTTTAATCCACTGCCTTCCTCCGTGGAGCTATCATTCGGATAATGTGGAATTAACTTTTTTCCAGGCCAAATCTTGGGCCAGGTTTTTTTTTCTGGGTTCCCATCTCTGGTGGCCCATTGGGTAAGGGGGGAAGAGGAGCGTTCAAAAGCGTGGCAACTCCAGGCGACAGAGAATCCTTCCTACCTGGCGTGAGGACAGAGAATGACCCTGAGAGAACCTAGCCCAGCGGTTCTCCACCTTCCTCACGCTGCGACCCTTTCATACATTCCTCATGTGGTGGGGACCCCCAACCACACATTATTTTCATTGCTACTTCATCACTGTCATTTTGCTACTGTTATGAATCAGGTGACCCCTGTGAAAGGGTCGTTCGACCCCCAAAGGGGTCACGACCCACACGTTGAGAACTGCTGACCTATCCTGAAAACGTCCACCAGTATGGACCCAGCAAGCCTCCACTCTGGTGGAGGGCACAGTGTCCTGCCGTTGTGCATTTACCTGGGAAGAGAACTAGTTTCGAAGGAGTTCCAAAGTCACAAGCTGCGGGCCGGTGGCCTGCTCTCTCTCTCTCTCTGTACCTCTGCTTCCTCCCTACCCTCTCTCTGTTTCAATCCCTTCTACCATGTTCTTCAGGAACCTAGTTTAATAGTGAAAGTCTTGGATTTTGGAGTTCAAATCCTGGCTCTTTCACTTACTGTGTGCCTGGGCCTCAGTTTCTCTTCTTTAAAATGCCTATCCAGCCATACTTGGTTTTATTGTGCTTGGCTTGGCTGCCCTTCGCAGACACTGCATTTTTGACAAATTGAGGGTAGGTGGCAACCCTGTCTCGAGCAAGTCCATCGGTGCCATGTTGTCCAATAGTGTATGCTCACTGTGTGTCTCTGTCGCACTAAGCAATTCCCATAATATTTCAAATGTTTTCATAGCGCTGTTGCCCCCTGAAAAGACTAGAATATAGTGTAAACATACCTTTCATATGCCCTGGAAACCAAAAATTGTGTGTGACTCACTTTATGGCAGTCCTGACTTTATTGCAGGGACCTGGAACCGCACCTGCAATATCTCTGAGGCACGCCTGTAAAGCATTTAACACGGCCTGGCTGTTAGTCCTTCCTCAGTACGTGATAGACATTTGGGGGGGTGAGGGTGAGGGGTGGGCATTCTCTCCAGTCTTAGAAGTCTGCCCTGCCTCTGTAGATCCACAGGTGTGGGGTCTGGATAGCCTCAGAAGGATCGCTCAGCTCACCACAATGACTGGAAACAGTATGCCCTTGAGCTCTTGGGTGAGAGGTTAGGAAACTCAAGGGGTCCTAGGGGCTGAGGGACAGTTTATCAAGGCATTTAGTAGCCCTGATCCTTGCCTGGGATGGGACAAGCTAACGAAGCTGGGAGAAACCTAGATTTGTGAAAAACTATCTCATGTGTCTTCTTTTTACTTGAATTCTTCTTCTGCCATCTTTGCAGTTTCCACAACAACCCTGTCCTCAGCCCCAGATCAAATCTGTGACTATCCTCCTTAGGGACAGCAATCAGTTCCCCACCCCCACCCCAGGCTCTGGGCCTTTGGAGCTAGCTGGCACCTCCAGGCAGAATGCTCTACTCTCCAGCCTCCTTTCCCCACACAGCTGACTAGGTTCCCCTCACCCCTCCCCATCCACAACACTCTTCAGCTGCTTCTAGCACAGGTTCACGGACTTCCACAGACAGCTGGTGGAGGGTGAGAGAGGGAAGGGATGGCCAAAGGGAAGTGGCTGCCTGTGAGTCACCAGCTCCTGGATTCTTTATGGTTCCCAGCAACTGCCCCCCAATTAGAGGATCCCTCATGAGCCACGGAGCCATGTCTGCAAAGGGTTGTTTCAGAGATCCCTCCTCTAGAGGTCATCTCTTCTAGCCCCCTGGGCAAGGCTGACGTAGACATCCTCCTTGACAAATAGTTCTTTGTGTTTAACGGGAGTCCCTCTGGCTGTGGTTTGAGCTTATAACCATTTGGAATTTCCAGATTGGTCCTCCTCTTTGAAAGAAGGGGGGAAAAAAAAATCACTGGTGAAGGCTAAGGTACAGACCACTTTGTACTCGAACCGTCCACCCACGGAGAGCACTCTAACCAGAGGGTAAGGTGGCGGGGCAGCCAGTTTCCCAGGCCTGCGCTCACCTGGGAAGAGCTTTCCAGCCTTAGTCTCATATCAGACAGCCACATCTTTTCAGGAGAGCAGCCTCTGTCAGGGACCCAGTCCTCCCTGGAATTTTCCCATAAGAGGGTTTAACCCTATCTCTTATTACCCCTGCGCCTGACAATGACCACCCTCCCACCCCCAATCTGACTGATCCTCTTGGTGGAAATTCCCTGGAAATTCCCTTGGTGGCCGCTCTGGATGAACAGTGTGCGGCGTGTGTGTCCTGAAGCAGGGACTGGTGCCTGGGACTGCCAACCTCTGGAGAGAAACCGCTGGAGGAAGGCGGCAGGCTCCTCTTACCTTGGAGCAGAAGGAAGCCCAGGATCGCCCAGCCCAGCTGCGGTGCTCCCGTGGTCCCCATGTCGGCTCGGTATGTGGTGGGCCGGCAGCCACTCCCAGCAGAGGCTCTGTCCATAGTGGAAAAGAGAGAGGGAGTGCTGGGGCGGGGTGGGGGGTGGGGGCTGGCTCTCCAGGAGCTTCCTGTCAAAGAATAGAAGGAAACAGATTGGGACTGGCTCCAGGGGCCTCACTCAGTTTGGTAATCCAGATGAGGATGTGAGGCTTCAGCCCCAGTGAATCACTGAGGGTTCTAGGCAGCCTGGGTCAGGGCTGCTGTGGCCTCTCCCAGGACCTGTGCACATAACCAGGGACAGTGGCCTGGCCCCAATCAGCCCCCTCCTCTTCTCTGAGATGCCCCTCTCTACATGCCACCTGGAGGTCTTCCTGCAGTTTAACACCAACCCCATCCAGTCCTGCTTGAGGCCTGAGGCTTCTCTCCCATGAATGAGCCCAAAGATCAGCCCACCAGCCGCCCATACTCTGTAGACTGAATTCCCCACATTCCTCTTGCTCATAGCTCCTGATGCAGATGAGATGCCCCACATCTTTCAGGGGGCATTATTACTTTGAAAAAAATATATTACTTTTTAAAAAACATTATTACTTTTAAAACAATTATTAGCACAAAATCCACATGTCCTACAATCCAATAGTTCGATCATATCAAGAAGAGTTGTACAATCATCACCACAATCACTTTTAGAACATTTTCTTTCTTGTACTCATTGTTATTAGCTCCCCACTTCCTCCAACCTCCCCTGCCATACCCCCCAAGGAACCGTTAATCCAGTTACTGTCTCCATGGACTTACCTGGCCTGGATTTCATATGCAGAAAAACATACAAAAACCAAAACAACC